AACAACAATAAAGTTTATTCATGTATATATTAACATAACAACAATAAAGTTTATTCATGTATATATTAACATAACAACAATAAAGTTTATTCATGTATATATTAACATAACAACAATTAAGTTTATTCATGTATATATTAACATAACAACAATAAAGTTTATTCATGTATATATTAACATAACAACAATAAAGTTTATTCATGTATATATTAACATAACAACAATAAAGTTTATTCATGTATATATTAACATAACAACAATAAAGTTTATTCATGTATATATTAACATAACAACAGTAAAAAACTAGTAACAAATATAATGTATAATACATAACAAATAAAGTAACAAATAATAATGAAAGTAATAGCAATCATGCCCATGCTTGAATCATCCATTTTCATTTTTTTCTAGTAAAAATTCAGTTTTTAAGTAAATTAAACTTTATGCAATTATTATTATACAATATTTATTATTATACAATTATTATTATACAATTATTATACAATTACATTGCAGTTTGACTGTTAACTTAATTAACAATTCACAGTTTCATATTGTAAATTTAGAAAACTGAAAATTCTTAACTTAAATTAGAGTAGTCAAATTAGACTATAATATTCTATTCATAAAGAAAAAGCAGAATCATGACTATATGTTAACATATTCAGGCTGAGACGTACTGAGACTAAACGACATACTGAGATCAAAAATATTTTTAATACAACTTTTTTTTAAAGTGTTATTTAAAATATATTTTGTATAAAATAATGTATTCATTCCCTTAATCAATGATACCCTGTTAGTAAAGTCATTTTTAAATTATTTTTTTTAAATTCAGATTTTATCCGATAAAGTTGCAGGATACATTCATGTTTATACTTTATATAGTGCTTATCGTCCATTTGGATGCAGGTAATATATTTTTAAGTTGTGTATTAAAGTACATAGTTATAGTGTGAAAGTTTAAAGGATATTTTTTATATTTAACTAACTTTTTATCTTAAAAATCCTTTAGTGTATTCCTAAGTTCATATGATAAAGTAGATGGACCAGAGTTATATATGATCGAACCCTCCGGTACATCTTATGTAAGTTATTTGGAAAAAATTTTAAATATTTAAAACATAAAAAATATATAATTACATTACAAAATTATCATTAAATATATAATATAAAAAAGTATATAGTAACTTTAAATATAATAAAAACAAAACTGTGTGTGTGTATATATATATATATATATATATATATATATATATATATATATATATATATATATATATATATATATATATATATATATATATATATATTATATATATATATGCATATGCATATGCATATACACACTGTATGGTTGTCTTTAATTTAAAAAGACCAGAAAAAGTTTATAAACTTTAAAAGTTTTCTTTGTTTTAATTGATAGAATAGCTTAAAACAATATAAAAGAACTAGCAATAAGGATCAGTAAAATAATTCATTGTAGATCTGTTCATTACCAATTTTTTTGGTAAATCTGCTTAAATAATAATTTCTCAAAAACTATGTGCTGGCAAGCAAAAAAACCCTGTCCTAAGAACCAAATAGTTTAAAAAATAATTTGTTTAGTTTTAAAAGAAGTTTATAAGTAAACAAAAATATTATAGCATCAAATGAAAGTTAGTATTTTTATTATTATTACAACAGTATAAATATTATAATTCTAATTTTAAAATTACACATTGTTTAATAAGGGTTATAATTTAGTTCAAGAATTAGACTAATATTATTTGTTAATATTATTGTTTATATATAATTAAATTTCCATGGGGTGATTGAATTATTCACGGGTAATAAGTAGAAATGTGTGTACTTCCAAAGATTTTAGATGTGGCAGAGTACATTTAAAAATGTATCAACTTTCTGTAATCTAAATCTAATCTATTGTATTAAATATAGATTAAAAAATAAATATATAAAGTGAATAAATAATAAACATTTTAGTAAAACAAAAAATAATTGTAATTAATTGGTTAGGCAGAAGTTAGGTCCTTAATCAGAGGAAAAATGTTTACTAAATCATAATGTAGTTATGTTGCAAAATTCTATTTGACATTTAGGGATATTTAAGTATTAGATAAGGCATAAATAAGTATTAAATAAAGCCTGATTGATTGACCATGACAAAGGAGTCTTATTTTTGAAATCTTTATAAATGTTTTTTCATATTTTTCCATTTTGTTGTCTCTAGGGTTACAGCGGATGTTCTGTTGGAAAAGCGAAGCAAAATGCTAAGACAGAAATAGAAAAACTCAAAGTTTGTTTTATAAAGTTATTATTGTGCTATAGTTAGGAATTTTATAAAAGTATCTTAGTATAAAAATAGATTTCTTTATTTTAATTTTTTTTTATATAACCAAATAGTTTTTAAAGTATTATTTAACTTTTTAGCTTGAAAATTTAACAATGAAAGAAGGTATAAAAGAAGTAGCTAAAATGTATGTTTTTTATTTTTTGACAATTTTTTTTAAATTTATGAATCTTGTGCATTTTTTCATTAAAAAAAAGTAACACAAATACTATAAAGTAACATAAAAATTTCCAAAAAAAAAGAATCCCAAACCTCCAAGACATTTTGTGTTCATATTAAAGAGATTGATAAATAAAAATGTTTGGGCTAATTTTTTTTGATTAATACAAAAGAAAAAATGCATACCAAGAAAAACTAATTTTTTAATTTTAGTTGAAGCTCGCCTCTGTTTTGCCGAAGGCAAAAAAATCAGCATAATATGCGCTGCAATCTACAGACTTGTCATGTACTAAAACTCTTAGGAATAAAATGCGCTTGAATATAATTATCAAGTCTGTAGATTGCGACATATATTATGCTGATTTTTCAACAAAACAGAGGTGAGCTTCTACTAAAATAAAAAAATTAGTTTTGCTAGGTATGCATTTATTCTTTTGTTTTAATCAAAAAAAAAATTAGCCCAAACATTTTTTTATCATTCTCTATAATATGAACACAATATGTCTTGGAGGTTTGGGATCCATTTAAAGTATAGACTAATTATATATAAGAGAGAGTGGAGTACCATGATTTTTTGCTTCGTAGCAATTTTTTTAAAACTTCTCTTTTTTAGGCAATTAGTTTAATTTGTAGAATGAATTTATATTTACAAAATTAAATTTATTATTTACCAAAATATAACAGTTGAAACTTGAGAGATTATTTATAATAAAATTAGAAAATGGTATCCAGGTACCTCTCCCATAAGATACCTTGATACACATTGAGCATCATTAAAAAGTAAATAAAAAGTATAAAATGTAGAGAAAAGGCAGATTTTTACTTGTAAGACAAATAAATTAATAATTATAACCAAAATAATGCATCCAATGTGCCAAATCTCATTTCAGAAACCCAGAAAAATATTGTTTTAAATGCCATTCTTAAGCATCAATAAATAATGGCTTTATATTAAAATTGGTTCTTTTAGTATTATATTTACATAAATCTCTTTAAAATTGACTGTAAATAATAAAAAAAAATGATTTGTTTGACACAACTGAGTGCCCCCCCCCCTTCCCACAAATGCTGTATTAAGTTACCCTACACTTGCTAATAGAAAACAATCTCTTTATTTTTAATACCAACTTTTATATATATATATATATATATATATATATATATATATATATATATATATATATATATATATATATATATATATATATATATATGTATATTATTATTATTATTTTTATTTTTTTTCTATGCCTTGTTAGATACTTGGTTTTGCTCCTAAAGATGTGTCTTTAGAAGCGAAATTACTTAGTTTTGCTTCTAACGATGTGTCTTTATGAAGTTATGTAATAAGTCTACATTTTTTGTCTATGCTGGCTTCTTTTTTAAGCTGAGAAATTTGTTACGCAATCGAATAAGATAAAAAAAATTTACTTTAATTTTATATGCAAAAAAACAACATTTTAGAACAAAAATTAATACAGTCATTTTGTATGACATTTGTAGCAGTCATTTTTTTTAATGTTTTAATAAAAATTAAGTTCAGTCATGAACGTATTGATCTTTATAAAATTCTGTACCAAGGTTGGTATACTTTTAGAAAAAAAAAATTTCACTAACATAAGGGACCTAGCAAGTAATCAAGAGACATGGTGCCTTACTGTTTTTTTATTATTGTTGTTTACTATTTGTTTAGCATTCACATTGTTCATGATGAAGTCAAAGATAAGCATTTTGAACTTGAACTCAGTTGGGTAGGAGAAGGTGACAGTTCTAAATTTTAAGTTTTTTTGTTTTGTTTTTTATAATACTATTTCTATAGCAACATTGAATCTGATGTATATTTCACAGGTACAAATGGCATTCATCAAATGGTTCCAAAAGAATTAGCTAATGATGCCGAGGAACATGCTAAGGTTATAAGCTTCATGTTTAATAATTAAATAATTCTAAAGAATCGAGAAGATTCTTACTGAATTAATTTTTTAGTGGTTTTAATAAATTTTTTGGCAAATTTTTAATTTGAATCAGTAAAAAAGTCTAATGTTTCCTTAATCATGTCCAAACAGGTCTAATTACAAAATAATCCTTTGAAAAATGTAAAAATATTTTCTTTTGTTTTTAACCCTTTTAATTAGTATTTTTGAAGGTTTCTGCACCAAAATAGTTATGGTATAAACCACAGTTTAATGTAAATCTGAAATACAATTTTAATGTACTTTTTCAGAGTATATTTGTGCTCTGAAAAAGTACCTTTTCAGAAACAGTACAGGTTTCTAGAGTAAATCAACGCATTATAATATTGTGCATTTTGGTATTTTTGATTTTTTTTAGTTGCATTAAGATATATAAATATATTTTTTAGTTTTTCTTATATCTGTAGTTTGTATTTTACTTTTTTTTTTCTGTGTTTTTTAGAAAGCGATCGAAGAAGATTCTGACTCTGACGATGATTTATAATAAGTTCTTATATAAATTATAATAAAGCAGTTTACGAATGTTTTATTGTTCAACAAAATATTTTTGTTTAACAATACTTTGGAAAAAGTGATGGTTAAGTTTATAAAAAATTTAAATATATACTACTGTGATCAAAAAGGTGAATTTTTCATTTAAACTTCCCGCCTTATTCGAATCGTCCAATCTTTTTTATTTTTAAGTTGGTAGGAATGTCATTAACATTTGCGCCAAATTACATGTCAAACTCATAATTATTTTTTTTTGTTTGTTTACGCTTGTTTCTGAAGTACCAAAAGTGCATTCGGCGATTTTCACGATGTCTAATTTTGTTGAGCAAAGAAGTGCTATTAAATTTTGTTTGCGGAATGATATTTCTGCTGCTGAAACGTATCGAATGTTGCACTAGGCCTTCGGTGAAGAGACTATGTCTCAAAAAAATGTTTACAAGTGCATACGACCCTGAAACAACCAACCAATCGAGTGAATACCGTGAAAAAAGGCGAGCCGAGACCGAAGCAACCACGTCAAAGTCGCTCAAAAATCAAGGTCATGTTGACTGTTTTCTTTGATAATTGTGGTGTCGTGCACTACGAATTCCTTCCAACTGGCCAAACTGTCTACAAGGAATATTATTTTAGCGTTATGCGACGTTTGCGTGAAGCTATTCGCAAAAAGAGACCGGAATTATGGGCCAATAACTCTTGGATTTTGCACCACGATAATGCGCCTTCGCACAAAGCACTGGTTCTTTGTGAGTTTTTCGCCAAAAACTCTACCCATGTTGCTCCACAACCACCGTATTCGCCCGACTTAGCACCATGTGACTTCTGGCTGTTCCCAAAGCTCAAGAGACCACTCGGGGGAAATCGTTTTGAGTCCATTGAAGAGATCCAACGTGAATCGGCACGCGCATTGAAGGCTATCCATACCGAGGACTTTTCGGCATGCTTCGAAGACTGGAAAAAACGTTGGCAGAAGTGCATTGGGGCCGGGGGGGAGGGGATTATTTTGAGGGGGACGATACAGATTTGGAAGAATAAATAAAGATTTTTCATTTTATAAAAAAATTTACCTTACTTTTTGATCACAGTAGTATTTGAACCAAAATTTAAAATCATTTAATGACTCTTATTCAACTCACACCTTTTCTCTTAACACATCTACGTTACCTACGATTACCCTGAATGCATCTACATGTTGTAAACTAATATATCATTACAAACAGCAGGTTGGGAATATATATTGGGTATATCATTGTTTATAGCTGGTTTAAAGCTATAAGGTTTGCGAGAAATCGGAAAATTTCTGAATCAGGGTGCTTATTCACAAATTACGCAAATTATTTTTTGCGTAACTCTAGCGTACCTGAGCAAAAGTTACGAAAAACTTACGCAAATTATTTTTTGCGTAAATATTTGGTATTCACAACTTTTTTGCAGCGTTTAGCAAAAAATTAAAGTCAAAGCTAAAATGTCACGTCACAAATGGGTGCGGAGAGATTGTTTAAAATGTCACATACGCAAAGATGGGTTGGGGGGTTATCTAAAATCAGAGAAAAAGGTGTCTCGTATTACTTGAATAGTTCCATATAGCATGTGCGTGCAATTGCTTTTAAAAGTAATAGCATATACAGCATAAACATTCTTTCACTTTATTTTGAGGAACTATTAGCAAAATAATCAATAATCGAAAATTGGAATAAAAATCGACCAAATTGGAGTCGGTTGGTTTTTCATATGAGATTAAGTAATAACAAAATGCTATACATCTATTATTTTAAATATAAACATTACAAGTACTCAATTAAAACTAATTGAGGCATATTTATCTAAATCCAAACGGATAATATAAGCTGTATTATCCTGGGCTTATGTAAGTTAACTATTCGGCTTCCTGCTCATTGGGCATTCACTGATAGCATCTGTGAATGCCCATCGATTTTATTTAATTTTTTGTATACTTAATACTATATAATGCTATATTGTATTCTTAATACTATAATTTTTGAATTGTTAATTTTAATTATTTAAATAGTTAAAAAATCAATTATTATTATCAACTGCTTTTTTCTTATTCTTTCTCAGCAGTGATGAACCTAGAGAGTATAGCTTCAGGAAGTTAAAACGAAATACTTAAAAAAAAAATTTCACATTCATAAAACAATTGTGCTATAGAGTAAAAATACCGCAAACCGGACACTCTTCACAAAAAGCTGAATAACTTTTTCAATATTGAGAATTGGTAGAATTTTTTTTTCTGAAATATAGTTTATTTTTAAAGTAATTCTGTAGTGTAAAAAAAAAAAAAAAAAAAAAATTAATTTCAAGTTTCTATGGAAAACAAAATTTTATTTTTTTGTCCGCTTTTCGGAAAATTGTCCCTAAAAGCGGACAGTTCCAAATTAAATTTAAAAAAAACCATAGATAAATGTTTTTTGTTTTAAAGTAGACACATAATAATAATACAACTAGAAAAAACTAGAAAAAAAAATAAAAAAACATAAGCAAGCTTGAGTTTAATAAAAAAATAAAAAGTTTATAAACTAGGTTCGTGCAAAAGAATTTTTCGCCTTTTATGTATCTTTTTGGGAGACAAGGTTCACAAAACCACAAACGTAACTAGATTTTTCACAAGTTTTCCATAAAACATGCATCTCTGACGTTTCATTTCCGAAAACTTTTGAGCACTTTTTGCATTTTTTGTACTTTTTTTGGCTTTCTTGGCAGGAGTTTCTACATCTGCTGCTACAATTTCAACATATGTTTGTTTTAACAGCTTTACGTCTTATCCTTTTCTTAACTTATTTAACCATGCTTCTTCTCTAAAAGTTTGACCAGCCACTGTATTTACATTTCTGTTTTTTATTTGCAGGACGCTTGTAAGCGTTTTGGAATTGAAATTGCTTCAAGAGAGCTCGTTCAAGACTAATAATAATACAACATTGACAAATCAAAATTACAAATTTTTTTCAAACTTTTAATAATGCCTTTACAACACGAGTCGCCAATTCTTCTTGAGAAGTTAAATTTAAAGTTAAAATTGAAGTTGGAGTTGCAGGCGGAATTAAGGTCTGAGTTTGTTGAGCAGTTTGAGGCAAAGAACTTGAGCAGCGTGGTGATTTTGTAACTGCTGATAACGTTATTTAGGCATTATTAAAAGTTTGAAAAAATTTGTAATTTTGATTTGCCAATGTTGTCTTCATTTAATGGAAAAATCCCAGTGTTTTCAAAACGAGCAATAATTTGAGTACGAGTGTAATCTTGGTTGCTTCTATATAACTGTGCAATGAGACTTAGGAAAATTTTTTTAAACAAATTGCTAAAACCACTTTCAGCATAGAAGTTTCTTAAAACATCACACCAAACCTCTTTAACATGGCAAAATACACTAACATCTAAAGGCTTCAGAATGTGAGATGAATGAGCGGAAATGCAAATTAGTGTTATATTGTTTTCTTTTCACTTTAAGGCAAATTTAATGACACGTGCGTGCTGTGGTCATCCAAAAGTGAAAAATATATTGACCACCAATTTTTTGAATGCGAAAAATAAACATTTCATCGAGCTACTGCAAAAAATGTGTACTTTCCATACAATCAGATGGTGATGTTGTGTTGATTGTATTTGGCGGACCTCCTTTAATCCAATCATCATAGAGTCTTTGATTTGTAAACAATAAAAGACGGTAGAAGGAATCTGTCAGCATTAACACAATTGAGAACAGTATAGTTTATTTTTTCATTATTTCCAGTCAATACTTGTGGACGCTTTGCACCTCTTCTGATAATTACTTTCGCATCGAAAATCCTTTGTACCATTTGCGATCAGACGTTCTATTTTTGAACAAACACGTTTCATCATTTTCAATTAAATAGTCTTTCACTAAACTTTGAACTTGATCTATTCGTCTACCAAAGCCCCAATCGCCAAGCATCTGATTAAGGTTAACTATGGTTGACTCGATAAAAGGGCTCAATTTTGTTGTATTGCCACTACCAACTGCTGAAGTTTTATTTAATTTTTGGTCGGATAAAGTTGATTTTGGTATGCGGTAGAACTGAGCTGCGCCTCTTAAGCTTAACTCGCCATAATCAATCTTATTCAATGCGTTTTTAATTGTTACCTCAGTGTAAGGCTTCTCATTTGTTTTATTTTTTGTCATTATAAGTTTAGTAAATTCAATTCAGTTACAGATTTTTGAAATTGAAGGAACGAAGCACTTTTGTGATTACTTTGTGTACTTTTGCATTTTAACTTCAACGATATAAGTGCAAAAGTACAAAACTAATTAACCTTTTTTTTGTTTGTTTGTTCTTTTTATTACATTTTAAATAAGCATTTTGTTACAATATTTAAAATAAAAATAAATAATAATAAATATTTATATATATTTAATGATTGTTATTAAATAATAAAAGAACGCGGGATCTCGTAGAAGACCATACGGTCTTGTTGTCGAGTACCGCTAAGAAATGTTCGTGTAAAAATTTATAAGATATTTACAAGATAAAAAAATAAGTAACAAAGTAAGAAACTTAAAATATTCCGTTACAAATACAAGATACAAAATTACACATATAATTTTTATAACTCATGTTTAAATAAAAAGGAAGATTACTAAAAAAATATCAAAAGTATATTGTTAAATCTTCGATTCTAAAAATGAGTTCTTTAAGCTTTCGTTTAAAAGAAAAATAGTTACTTTGATGAATAAAATCTTCAATAAAATTTTTTAAAACTATTTTATTCTATAAGAATGGTCCGCGATAATCAATACAAAGTTTAAAAAGATTTGTTTGTAAAATGGGCTGCTTAATAAAATTATCATTGCGTAAAATGGACTTATTTTTATCTTTTGATGAATACAAATTATGGAAAGAGATCAGGGACGAATTGGTTTTCTATTTAAATATAAAACAAAGAACATTAAAAATATTAATCTGTATCATGTATGTTAAAAATTTTCATTTCAAATAATAAAGGCTTGGCATGAGTATAACGGTCTTTAAAATATATAAGACGTGCTACATGCTTT